AATACTTTGAGCGAAAGGAAATGAAATGAGCGAAGATATTAATGCATTCACAAAGGCCTGGAATTTTTATTGTTAATTTCGAATCGTTGATAATATTGAAAATATGCGTTATATACTACTGACATTTAAATTAAGTTTTTAGTTAAAGATTTGAATTATTTGATATGAATAAATATTAACATGTAATGTTATTATCTATCAATGATAAATTATTTTGTGGGAATATTTTCCTATCTCACAATATAGGCAGTCATATGAGTGCATATTATTGTTTAATCATGATTTTAATCACAAATATGTGAGCAATCTTTCTCAATGTTTACAATTCGATAAGCATTAAAATTTTGTTACATAATATTTTTGTTGTTGTTGTTGCTGTTGCTATAATTTTTATAATAATTGATTTAGAGAGAGAAAGGAAGAGAGAGTGAAAAAAGATGATAAAATGATGAAATGGGAGAGATGAACGAGGAGTGTCCTTGCATTCATGATGGCTTATCAAACTTGTTTTCTTCTGTTATAATGCTGTACCTATCTTTTTTCCTTTTTCCACATATATATATATATATATATCAGCTGTTACTAACTTTAACTTCCTTACACCAAATTTTATTATATTTTATTCCATTTATTGCTATAAAAAAAATATTTTTCTTTTTTTGGAATTCTTTAATAACTAGTTTTGGTGAGTAAGGATTACAATTTTTTGATCAATTAATCATGCAATTTTCTTATTGTTGTAAGTGTTATCACTAAATGTATATTTTTCATCGTTGCATTTCATTTAATCATTGTATTAATTTGTTAAAAATATTATCATTTAAAAAATTTACAACATAATCATTTAAAATCAGTTTATTATTGCAGAAAAATATAATGTATTAATTTACTATTGAAATTATTTAGCTGAAAGGAATGGCAGCTTTATCCAAATTCCAGCCTATTGCTGGAAGCACTTCAATGTTTTACGGTGCTACAACAATTGCTTCAATTCTTTTTGTTGCCGCATTTGTAAATATTGTTTGGAAAGGCGGTAAATTTTTTTCAATTCAAAATAAAAGATGAATTATAAACATTAATTTTGTTATTATTTTAAGATAGTTATTTCCTCATCCGATATTCCAAATGAGCACATTAATAGTTTGATTACTTAAAAATTGGAAAGATAAATTGAAAATTTTAAAATCAATGTTTTAATCATAAAGATTAATGCCATTATAGTTCCATCATCAGTAATATTGAAACGAAAAAATGTAAGAAGATGGAAATCTCCAAAATGGTATAATACTACGAATACAAGGCTTCTTTACAAGCTTTATTTTTTGTTTAAAATTATTATTCCACGTTTCAAATGTAAGGAAACATTGCTTATTGGTAAGTTTAGCGACTTTTTTTTCTTCATCGCTACATTCTAATTAATTTAAAAATTCCGAATTTACCAGGATAAAGTGATTTTAATCAATAAAAATCCATTATTATTATTACTGTTGATTAGGCAGTTAGAAAAAAAAATTTTTTAGTGAGAAAGAAATTAATGTTCTCATAAAATTTAGCACTCTATACTCTTGTGTTACTGTCAAGGACATTACTGTCCATTTATGTCGCATCTTTGGAAGGTCATTTAATTCGGACAATAGTTGAAAAACAATCTTATGCATTTATTCGAAATCTTATTAAATGGTTCCTTGTTGCACTACCAGCTACATTTATTAACAGTATGATTAAGTATGTTATCAATTTTATCGTTTTTTTTTTTCGTTTATAAACTTTTATCACTGATCACCAAAATTTATTGACATTTTATTTCAAATTTTTTATTATTGTTGCAGTCCTTACAGCAATGTCGGATAATTTTGACTTTCAGCTAATTCATTCTTTCAAATGACTAAAACATACTACTAATATTCGTCTGATCAGTAATGTAATTGCATGATTAAATTTGATAGCAACATCTATCTTTTTAAAATTCTTTTTAATCTACTTTGGTTTAATAAAAAATTTTTTTTTCAAAAAATATCCAGTTTATTGTTCGAAGAAACGGAAAGAAATACAAATAGTTCATATAATTTAAATATGATTTTAACTTATAGCTTACTTATAGGAACTATCATTTTCTTCGCATTCAGTGGTGAAATTAAATTTTAAAAAGTCATATACAAATAATTTTAACTGATAAATTTTAAAATTATTCATTTTAGATTTATGGAAGGATATGTTGCCATAGCATTTCGTGCTCGCCTTACTCAATATGCTTACAACAAATATCTATCGGTTTGTTTTGAATTGAATTTTTAAAAAAGCTAGTAAATTATTTTTGAATTGAACTTTTTTAAAAAACCAGTAAATTATTTTTGAATTTATCAATCAGTTTGAGAGTTACCTTATCATCCAAATTATTTTGCTCAAAAGGCTGCATTGTTTATGTATTAATAAATGAATACTGATACTAATATTTAGGCAAAATAATTTTAAATTCAAATTCTTAATTTTTAGATTTTAAATTTAAGAAAAAAATGTTTTGAAAATGATTTTTTGCCCTGATAAAACAATTTTTCCTTTTTCGAAACAGCATAATACAAAAAGTTTTCAGGATTGTACATATTATCATGTAAATAGTTTGGATGGACGACTAAAAAATGTTGATCAGTGTTTAACTGATGATATTATGGCATTTTGTGAAGTCGCTTCAAGCCTCTTTTCGCTAATTCTTAAGCCGCTTTTCGACATCTTTTTCGTGGGGTGCTTTTTTAGCCCCTCCTTTTATTAAATATTTAAAATTTCAAAACTTAAAATTTCCATTCAATTTCGTCAGTTTTGAAAAATATCTAAAATTCTTATATCATCTTTAACAAAAAGCACATCATTATCAATTTATTCAAGAGTTTAAATTTAATTAATTCCAGGCTGACACTGATATATAAATCACGGAATGCTAAATTAGGTTCAGGACTATTCGTTTTAATTATCATGGGTCCTAGTGTATTAATAAGTACTGCCGGACTGCTGCGATATATATCGCCCAAGTGAGTACTTCAATTGATTTGTCCATATTTTCATTTCCACAAATTTCATCTGATCATCAATAATTCATTTCTTTCTCTTATTTTTTTATTTTATTACAGCTTTAACAAATTGCTTTCGGAAGAGTCAAAAAAAAAGGGCGCGCTGCGTTTTTTACATTCACGTCTTATTGCAAATTCCGAGGAAGTTGCATTTTACAGAGGCCATGAGGTCAGGAACAAAAAAAGTAGTTGAATTGAAATTGAAGTAACTGAAATATTGAAATATTAGCTGTTACACAACAATCTTTTATATCTTATATTTTAAATTGTAAAACTTAAATTCGTTAGTTATTTATTAGCAGAATGTAAGTTATAAAAATGCTAATGCAAGAAACAATAAAATAGTCGAAAATTTTTAGACTGAAAAAATTTGCCTATTAAAAGCATTTTATAACATTCAACATCATGCATATTTAATATGCCGGAAGAAAATACCATATATTATGGTGGAACAGTATTTATTAAAATATTTATGGACAGCTACGGGTATGATTATGATTGCTCCTTCGCTATTCACAACAAAATCTATCAAAACATCATCATGTAAGCTCTCTTAATTATTATGCATGCGAAATTTTTCTTGAAATAATAATTACTTTAAAAATATTTCAGAAAAAAAAAATGGTACAATATTAGCTTTTTTTTCTTATGCAGGACATATTTAATTGCATTATATTCAAAAAGGTAAATCAATCAATCTTCATTTACCTTCCAAAACTTTTAGCAGAAATAAAAATGGGTGATCGAACAAGAAATTTTATGACTGCAAAAAATTTAATGGCTGTAATAGCAGGTGCTGCTGAAAAATTAATGGTTTCCTACAAAGAGGTTTTCATAATTTTAAATTTTTATTATATCATTTTACCCTTTTTTTTTTGCCAAATTATGTGAAATATTTTGATGATATTTTATTAGATTTTTGAACAAATTTCATTTAAACTCTGTTATAAAAAATTTTTTATTTATTCTAAAATATTGTCAGGTGGTCGAATTGGTTGGATACGTGTCACGTATTTATCGTATGTTTGAAGTTTTTGAAGAGGTGAAACAACAAAAATTTATTGGAAAAAGAAGTGTGGAAAATGTGAACGAGAATAAAATAGAACAATATAATGCTGATGAAATACGTGGTAATTACTTCTTCGTGGATGTGAATACTCGCCTAAGTTCAATGTTTGAAATTTTATCCAAAATTTGGCAAAAAAAAGTATCAATATTGCAAACATTGTAGATCGTTTATTTCCAATTACTGAATTTATTTATTCTGTAAAATAATACATTTCAAAAATTTATAGGTGAAATTGTTCAAACAAATGGCGTTGTAAGATTATGTAATGTACCTATTGTTACACCAGCTGGGAATGTTATTGTCAACAATTTCAGCATTGAGGTTTGTGAGAGAGATATTTGAATTTAATTCACTGAATTAGCTTGTAACTTAAACCAAATAATTAAAAGTTTCATTTCTTAGGATGAAGAAATGAGCGAATTTGAAGCTTCCAATTCTTTTTGAATATGTACTTTATGTATACAATTAGAGTATGGAGAATAAAATGGACCAGTTTTCTAGGTTAATATGCATTTTAAAATTCTCCACAATGAGTAATAAGAAAGTTATAAAAGGTGCTTTAAAAAAAAGGAGAAAATTTTGTTTAAACAGATTTTCTAACTGAAAATTCAAAATAATTAAGGTGTACAGCTTCATTTTGTTTCACGGTTAAATCACAAAAATCAATATTGAAACAATTGATATTGTTGTCAAGTAAGCAAAAGAGAGGGAGAGAAAAAGAAAGAAAGAAAAAAAGAAGGAAAGAGAGAGAGAGAGAGAGAGGGAGAGAGAGAGGAAAACTTTTGTGAAATTGTAAATTTAATTTTTCTTTTAATATCATACACGATTGATAGATTCATGCTGGCATGCATTTATTTATTACTGGTCCAAATGGTTGTGGTAAAAGTTCACTGTTTCGAATCCTTAATGGTTTATGGCCAGTACATCGTGGACGATTAGAATTACCACCAAAAACTGAAATGTATTATTTACCTCAACGACCATATATGACTTTTGGAAATCTAAGAGAACAGGTTGGTAAGTAATATTTATCCACTGTAGCATTCGATAAACGTATTTCATATTCGGAAAGTTTGGAAATTATTTGCCATACTGAATATATGAAGTAAGTTATCATTTATTTATTTGAAATCTGCTTATCTTTCATTTATTTCAATAGTAGAAGAAATGATTGGAAAGATGTTAAAAGAATAAGTTGATTATTGCAAAAAATATAACTTCGATATTTATTGGTTCCTTCTAGCTTATTATTACAAAATCCAAAAAATATGTTTGATTGGTATATTTTGAACTTTGATCTTTTTATTAATTTTACATTGCTAATTAAGAAACAGTGAAAAATTAATTTTCAGTACTTTTTACACTATCTTTTTACTTTAACCCTTTTTACAACTACTATACTCTGAATTTAATGAATAAATAATGAAGAAATTTGTAACAGATCATTTATCCGGATACGCTGGTCGATATGCGAAGAAAAGGTATTACAGATAGTGCTTTAATGGAAATTTTGAAAACGGTACATTTGAGTGACATTGTGGAGCGTGAAGGAGGTCTGTGATTTGAATAAGTGATAAAAGTATGAAAAAATTTAATAGCAAACAATTAGAAAAATGAGAACAATTAAGTTCTCGGGAAAAATTTTAAAAACTATAAAATATTTTCAAAAATTGGAATTATAGGTTTTGGAAGCGAACGTGAATGGATTGATGTTCTATCAGGCGGTGAAAAGCAACGATTAGGCTTAGCACGGATTTTTTATCATCAACCAAAATATGCCTTATTGGATGAATGTACCAGTGCAATATCGATAGATGTAGAAGCAATGATTTATCAAGCAATGAAAGATGCCGGATTTACACTTCTCTCTGTATCACATCGACCAAGCCTTTGGTAGATATAACACATTAGTAGTTCGAGAATTTCTTAATTCACTGAAAAATTTCTAATTGCCTAATTCAAATTTTTCATGCTTTACACTTGTAAAGGTAAGATGGGCGCGTGAAATGAAATTTTTATTTCAAAAAGAAAATTAAAATATTTCAAATGAGTTTTAATCAAAAAAATTTTGTTTTAAAACTCATGAAAAACTTTGACCAAATACAATTTTAGGCGATTTCACACCCATCTTCTGCATTACGATGGGCAAGGAAGATACCGGTTATGTCCGATTGATTCTAAAATCTTACTATCATCCAATAGTGATATGAACAAAAATGAGGTATACACTAATTCATTAACCTTTTTTTTTCCCTGTCTAATGAAGTTACTAATTTGAAATCATGCAAAATACAATTAGTAATTCAATGTCTGAAACCTCATAAAAGTTTACAACTGGAAATTTTAAATACATGATTAACGATAGCTAGACTGCTTTCATTTTTAATATCATTTCAACTGAAGTGCTGTAATTTACTGTATGAGTTGAGAAAGTTGAAATAAATTTTTAAAATATATGAAATATTCTTGAATAATTATTGCAGTTGTTCTGTGACAGCGGCAATACGAAAGACGCTACTCCGAACTATTCAGCGAGTAAAAATGAAACATAATTAATGCATTTCCCATTTTAATATTTTCGTTGTTCTAATAATAATTACAGTTTTTTTGTTTTTTAAGTAATAAAAGTTCTATTGTCAACGAATAAGTGTTCCATTGTGATGTTATTCGAATACTGCCAATAAAACCTAAAATTCAACATTTTTACTAATAATACTAAGGACTATTTGTAAAATGAAAAATTATATGGTCAAACTATTTTGAAAAAAAAAAGAGAAAAAAGACGAAAGGTAAAAGAATAAACGATGGTAAATGACAATATTATCGAAGAATACCTATAAACAAAACAACTTTTTTCTCTTTATCGATTCCTAATTCCAAACATATAGTTCGGTGAACAAATTAACAACACTTGAGAAATTAAACAACATCACTCTTATGCAATGTAGCAAACGTTCATCATATATGAATTGGATTTTCTAAATTCTAATCAGAAGACTGATGTAATAAAAGAATACAATGAACCAAACCTAATAATCATGATGTTACAATTTTCACTAACTTATAAAAGCAGTTCAAAACATCACAAATCTTTAAATATGCGAAAAAGTGTAGTATTTGATATGAAAATGGTTTAGATTCATTTTCAAGAACTTTTTTTTTCTCAACTAATGAAGAAAAAATCAGATTCTTCTTTGTTAACTGTGACTTTGAAATATATAAAATTCCAAAATTTTTCAAACAAAATTCTACGAATAATTAGTGAAGAAAAAAAAAAGCTGAATTCATGCACATAAGGCACTATACCATTTGGCAACTGATGCTGTATCTGTTATACTCCCCTTGATGAATGGATCTTCCTGAAAAGGAAAAATGTGACTAACTTGTAACTTTATCTTAATATGTCATAGGCATTACAATCTTACTTGTAATTTTATCTTAATATGTTGTAGGCATTACAACCAGTTTCATATGCTTCAGTTTTAATCTATCAGAAAAGAGAATTTCTGGAAATTTTAGACTTTTATGAACTAGCTGTATATTTGTGGGTTTTTATAGTGACAACACAGTTAAGTTTTTTTTTAGCAAAACGAAAGACTTTGAAACTTACTGTAATTTATTTTTTTTTAAATAAATTTACTATGATACTGTTTCTCACATATGGAACACAGGCACAAATGGTAAATATACATTTCTGGAAATGTATCCAAAAAAGGAAAAATGCAAACCAGAAGCTCATGATAGCTAGGGCGATCAATAGGTCGTTTCATGAGACATCTAGCAATGAACACTGAAAATGTCTGCGAGAAGTGTTGAGCTGGAGTAAGTCGTGGTGGTGGATCATTTATAATTTTTGTAAGAAGCTCAAAATCTGTTGCACAACCGTCATACGGATGAGTTCCTTTCGCTAACTCAATAAGTGTTATTCCTAAACTCCAAACATCAGCTCGTACACCATACTCACAATCACTGCTTGCTACACGTTCAGGCTGAAATTAGTTTCAATTTAATGCTTTGTTAAATAAATACAATTTAATTTTAAAAACTTACGGAAGCAATTATAATTCAAAACAGTAAAATCTCGAAAACTATATAAAATAAGGCTAACAGAGAGAGCAGAAAGAGGCTGAGAAATATTTTCCTTATCCCTTTTTAGAAAAAAAAAATTCTATAATTTCTTTTCGAACTCTAGTGAGCTGATACTGATTTCAATGCCAAATTTTCATTTGAATAACCTATCGTTTGTTCAAACAATAGTATACAGTGAAACGCACTTTTTTTCATTAATTATGTAATTTGAAATGTTCTTTTTTTTGAAGACAAAAAGGCGAACCGCTAAGTAAGCAGTACAGCCCTTCGTATTTGTTTCTGCTCGTCTGGAATCAATCAGTCGGCCAGCAATACCAAAATCACATAATTTGATTGTGCCGCTATGATCGATTAGGATATTCGATGGTTTAATATCTCGGTGCATGATATTCTGAAAATGTCTCATCTATGAACATAAAATAAGTTAGCTACTAATTGAAGCATTTCAAATATATAGAAGGCGTTTGATTTTAAAATTGAAACAAGAAGCCAGAAGTGGTACATCAAGACAAAACAAAAAAATTCCTATTGCAATTGGAAAAAAAAACTATTTGCAAAAGCTGAATTTTTAATTGGAAAGTAAAATATATGATTGTGTAGATGGATTTATATTTCATGCCAAAAAAAATTGGCTGGAATAATATAAAGTACAACAAATTTTAACGAACTTCTTTTTCTTTAAGATATTCCAATGCCAACAGCACTGATTTGGTTATATTGGCGAGAATATTTTCCGGAAAATGAATCGCTAACTTTAGCAGCTTATCCAAGCACATTGACATCAACTCCATACATATTCGCACTTCTGACTACATACATATTTTTTTTCTTTACAAATCAAATTTTTAATTTTTTTCAAATTCCTAACTTGTAAATTTTGACTTTTATTTTAAAAGAAAATGATTACTTAATGCTCCATTTAAAACCTACCACATGTAATTCATTAAATTAAATGATAAAAACGAATGGATTAATAGTTCGTAAAAATACCCAACTTCATGAAACCGTATATATTTCTAACATTTTTTAAAAGAATTATGTTCAAACAAAAAAATTACCGAGTAAAATTATCTCAATGTTGTTAATATAAGTTTTTTTTTTCTTTTTAAAATATATTACCTCAAAAACAAAACAACCATAACAACGAACGATATTTGGACAATTATGGGATCGTATAATAACATCCATATCCATTACTGTCCGTTTATTATTCTCCGCATTACCCGTTATTGGAATTATCTATCAAGAAAAAATTACCAGTTGTATTTGTGAATGTAATATTTGTTAAACATTGTTATTTTATGAATTAATGTTCGTTAAAATTTTGACAGAAAACGAAAGAATCGGTATTTATTACACTGGTATTTCATTTTTTTTTTTTTTTAAATAAAGAATATAAAACGATGCAATGAAATTCCAATCATGGAAATAGATTACTTTAACTGCCATAAGTGTTTTAGTTTGTTTGAAATGCGCTTTTCGAACTACTCCAAATGAGCCACGACCAAGTTCCTTGATATCAACAATGTCAGAAAGTTGTGCCCTATATTCAATGCCCATTATAGTAAGCAAACCAGACCTTTCTCGGATTGATTCATATTTTTCTTCTACCTTAAAGAAAATATAACTCGTATAACTAATAAATTTAAAAAAAAAAAACTAACATGAAATTATTGTATCAGTTACTTTGCTTCATGATATGTATCAGCTTAATGCCTATGATACGGTAAAACAAACTTACGATAATCTGCACTGAAAAGGATGCATAAATAAAGTGGTTACTTTACGGAAACGGGATAATGCACAAAAATATGAAATAATAAGAAAGGTGAAAAAACCTCTTCATCAGTCATTGGCACTCGTGATGGTTCCGAATCTTGTAATGTTAGATCAAGACCGAATCTTGAACGATCCATTGTTGTATTATCTGCTAGTGTTACAGGCTGATTTAAAATCATTCTTATTCAATGCTATAAAATCAATGTCAAATTTTAAAATTTGGAAAAAAATTTATCAAATCAAATTATGAATTAGTTTTCAGTAAAATTTAAAACGCATCGGAAAATTGCTCAAATTCAGTTTTAACTAGTGTAATTTCACCACAAAGAAAAGCCGATTCATTTTTTAAAACAATGAATTTTTGACGAGGCATTGGAAACATTGTGAGTGGAAAATTCACATATGCCATCGAAATGAAATTGTTCCTTTAATCGATATGTATGGTCTGTATGTATGTGTGTGTCTGTATGTGTGTGTGTGTGTGTGTCTGTATGTGTGTGTGCGTGTGTCTGTGTGTGTGTGTCTGTATGTGTGTGTGTCTGTATGTGTGTGTGTCTGTATGT